TGAGTATTTAATTGGATGCCCAATTTAAATCACCTTAAAAAACCTGATTTTCAGAAAGTAGGTGCTCAATGTCTATTGAAAACCATATACATCTAAGCCATCTCAAGCAGGACACCCCAAATTACTTCCCATATCAATCCAAGGGTACCAAAAAGATTGTATATTGGATATTTACAATCCATGACCACTATTCAAAATTGAGTGGCATAGAATCCCAACAACTGATGAGCTGTAAGTGAAGAGTCCAGTTCCTGCTCCAAGCCTAATGAAGTCTTCCCGTAGTTTAAAACTAAGTCAGCCCTTCTCCAACAAAGGGAGAAACATCTTTTTTCAGATGTACTGTAAACTGTTTTAAAATCGAGGGCATCACTAGGGTGGGACAATGGGGGCAACCTCCCTGGGCACTGAGTTGGTGAAGAAGGAGCAAAAAAAATAGCTGCTACTGGCAACTGCACATTCACAATTTCAATCAGATGGGTAGAGTAGTAGATACTGGAAGTCACCACTGCCCATGTGCCTTAGGCACCCTGCTGCATTGCTACACTGCTATTAAAATCCTTGGCTTCTAAGCACTGGTGAATCAGACTTCCTGTGAATTTTACTACTAAAATACATTTCTTTAAGATGCAGAGGTGAACAAACCATTATTTGCTGGGTCCCACATATGCACCCTGACTGAGATGGACTGTGCCTTTTGCTATACACGTGGGGAAATTAAAGCTCTTTTGTGAAAATATTGTCTAAAATCTTTGTGTTGAGAATATATGGATTTCCTTTGTGTGTTTATCCATTGGTTTTATTTTGTTCATTTTCTATTATATCCATTCAGATGAAATTTAATTAAGTCCCAGCTGTTTAAGTGAGAAGGAAAAAAAAACATTTTAGCAAGTTCTTGTCTAAAGTTCAGCTCTAGGCTGTTAGTATGCTCTTCCTCTTCTGTAGCTGGCATACAACACTAAGGACACAAAGTTTGAATAAACAATATCAAGGTTCTGACACAAATCCCAGGTCAACCAGGATATTTTCTGAGTTAATATAGCCAAAAGAGTCTTGAATCAGCCTCAGTCCTCCTAGCCAAGTGCAATTTCTGCATCCTGATTCTCACAGTCAGAAAACCTGGGATTCAAAGCCTAGCCCAGGGTACCTGCAGGCAGAGAACTGGGCTGTGGCACTTCCAGCTCAGCCTGGGCCCTCCCATGAGGTTCCTAACAGGGGATCAGGTGGCCTGAGAGGAGCACTGTAAACCTGATGGGAGGGCAATGAAGTTCTCCCAGGTCCTGCAAGGCCTTGTCCCTGCAACCATGCTCCCGGTTATCCCTGCTGTGGACCTCCTTGCGGGAGTCCTGTACTGCTGCATCTGTCTTGAACCATCCATCTTAAACTCCCATCTTGCTTCTGCCTTAGATCCTTCTGCCCTGCCTCTAGCCTTGCCTCATTCCCACACTGAGCCTCTGCCTTGCTCCTGTCTTGCCTCTAGCTCAGTCCCTACTGCCCTGTCTCCAGCCTTGTCCCTGTTTTGGACTCCAGTACCTCGCTCCTGCCTACCCTATCCTGCACATTGGATTCTCTGGCTCCTGACTTCTGGTTTGGCCTTGAACATGGGCTTGCTTGTCCCCTAGCACAATCCATCAGACTTTGACTGATACCGGAATTCCTTGGCTCGGCTTGTGGACTTACGGTATTGTTAGCCCTCAGTTTCTGAACCCTGACCCCCATGTCCAGGTCATACCCATGATCCTCATGCAAAGAGAACTGATCTAGGGTGTGCATTCTGCATACACTAGATCAATAAGTAACACCTGATTTATGAGAGTGATAGCTATGACATTGATTGGACTATGGAACAAGGCCTCCAGTTCAATTCCAGGTTATGTCACCAATGACAAACATATTTTACCCGTCAGTTGAGGATTCCATATAAACAAGGTGGAAAATCTCAATGCTGTCCCCAAGGACAGGTGTCCACAATAAGAACCCACTGCTACAATAGCCACCAGTTGAAGGTGTATTCAATTGGCAGTACCATTCCAGATTCTGCCATGGAGGTGTGAATGATAACTGGAGAAAACTGTATGACAAAGTGAAGACTCACAAGGCCAGTTCTGGTCATCTACAACATTATTTACAGTGGAAGGATCTTGCAAGTGCTCTTAGTGGAAAAGGAGCCATTGATAATGCTCTTGAAAAGGGTTTACATTCAGAGTGTTGTGAGGTCTGGTTGACATTACCCTGTTTCTGGCAAAGTAAAATTTGCCATTCCGAGGATCATTCTACCCTACAGCATGACAGTTGTGGGTTGTTCCTTTCTCCTGTACAGTTCATCAGTAAATACAATCAATACAATCAAGATTTGAACTGTCACCTTGAAACTGTTATGGAGCATTGAATGGCTGGGGAGAGAATGCAAGCACACTGCATGTCCTGGCATAGTCAGAATGAGTATTTGGAGGTGTGTGCCAAGAAAGTACTAAATACGATTCTTGAGGAGGTGAGAAATGCTCGCTACTACAGAATCATCCTAGATGGGATGCCTGATGTCTCGCATACTGAGCAGTTGGTATTTATCATGAGATATGTACATGAAAGAGATGGAAAATGGGATGTGCAGGAACGATTTCTGAAAATGGTGGACTGCAATAAAAAGAAAGGAGTAGACATCGTGGAGCAGATAAAGAAAATGCTGGCAGAGTGTACGGTAGAGTTGCAGAACTGTAGAGGGCAAGGGTACAACAATGCTTCAACTATGTCTGGGAAATACCAGGGTGTAAAAACTAGGATACAGGATGAAAATCCTCAGGCATTGTTTTCACCCTGCAGTGCACACTCTCTGAACCTATATGGTACCCATGCCATGGAGAAGAGCCCCAAAGTGAAAACACGTTTTTAAAATGTATGGAAGCTGTACACTGTATTTTCATGCAGTTCTGCAAGATGGAAAATTCTTCAGGAAACTGTAGGACTCTCTCTTCACTCTATGTCAACAACTAGATGGAGCTCAAGAATCAATGCTGTTCGTCCCCTCAAGACAAATCCTAAAGGGATGCTGGATTCTCTCTTCAAATTTGAGAAAGAATTGAACTTGACAAGAGAAACCCAGGCAGATGTTTCAGGTCTCACTGGGTGGATGCAATCCTTTGAGTTCATCCTTCTGACTACAGTATGGTACAATATATTGCAGTCCATCAATATCCGAAGCAAGCTTGTCCAAGGATCCAAGTTCACCATGGAAGAAGGGGTTCAACAAGTCAAAAGACTCCTGGAAGAAATTCCACAGTTGAATGATTCTGAGCCAAATCTTCTCATGGAAGCTAAGGTCATAGCTGAGGAGGTAGGTATCACCACTGAACTCAAGAGAACACAGAAGAATCTGAAGGACAAAACATTTCCACGATGAGCCACCCAATACAGAACACAATCTCTTCCCCTGAAGATAAATTCAGGGTTGAAGAGTTCATCACAGCCATGGATATGCTCCTCTCATCTCCAAAGCCTAGCTGAGACCATGGGGGAAACTCTCAAACTTGTTCTCATTTATACTTGACCCACCAACTATTACAGAGGATGAAGAATTTGAGAAGTTTGTGGAGTCCCTGTCCACCACATACCCACGAGATGTGAACAAGGATGAGTTGCAAGAAGAACTTTGCCTATTTTACAAAATCAGGAAGACTTGTACACCTCTGGGGGAGCCATGGGCACTGCACTGTAGCTTCTCAACCAGATTTATGGCAAAGGTGTAGAATCTGTGTTCCCCCAGATATGCATTTACTTGAGAATGCTCATTGCCTTGCCAGTCTCTGTTGCATCCGGGGAACGCACTTTCAGTAAACTTAAGATTATTAAGAACTACCTGCGGTGTTCAGTGATCGGGGATGATAGGTTGAATCATTTGATCATGCTCCCAGTGGAGAACACACTTGCAAAGCACATAAATTATGATGATGTAATTGATGACTTTGCATCCATGAAGGCGAGAAAGAAATACTTTACTTAAACTTTCCTCTTCTCATGTTGTTCTTAAGTTCCTAACTTTGTAGCATAAGTTTAATTAACAGTTTGCAAGTGAAACATTTATGTCATTCTGCTTTAGTTACCTGTCTCCAAGGTAAATTCTCTCTGCCTAGCCCTCCTTGCCATGGGAACAAGCGGGGAAAGCCGGCTTGTTCCCCTTCCCAGGGCAAGGGAAGGAGAAGCCGCATGTGAGAATTCTCACACGTGATGTGTGCGTACAAGAATTCTCACACGTGGTCTCCCAGCTTTGTACACACACACACAGCTGCTTGTACAGGGCAGTGGTGGGGCCCCCAACATCACACCTGCCCCAGGCCCCATAAACCCACTAGGCAGCCCTGTTTCCAGATGGGGAACTGGTACCCAGAGATTACTTGTCCAAGATCACACAGGATGTCACCAGCAGAGAGGAGCTAGAACCTTGCTCTCCCAAATCTTAAACTAAAACATGAATCAGTGAAACATCCAGGCCATTCAAGAGAGGAATGATACAGAGTTCTTCCCTTGCATGTCATGCAGAACTGCCTGTTGCCTAGCCCCTGTTGTCCTCTGTAATCCCTTAAAAATTTTAATCTTACCAGTCTACCCAGTAGTCCCTTTTCACTTTACCAATTCATTAAGTTACCATTTTATTCTAAAATGTTAAATGTTTAGTCCCAAATACAGTATTTAAATCCATGTATATGCAGGACTATAAGGCATATATCTTATCATGACTGCAGATTTATTTATACATTCATTTTGACATATCTTCTACTTTTTAAAAAAATTAAGATTAAATTGCTGTAAAATTATCTCATGAAGACTTGACCTTGAAACACCATTCAAATTTTAGATGTCTAGAATATGCAGTAGAACAAAGTATTTACTCTGTGACTTGTTAACAGCAAGACTTCTCATAGGAATACAATTCAAGACAAATGCATTTGATAACAGCAAATGTTTAGAGAATGTGTATGTACAGAAGATGTAGTACATCCACAATTTACCTAAATGTCCTCAATAAAATGAGATTCCAAAATTCTGAAATACGTTGTTGGATCATTGCTCCTTTTGTATTTGTTCCAAGACCCTGATCCTGATGCTGTGAGACACCTGATGCTGTGAAACACCTGTGAGGTATTGACACCTCACTAAGAATTAAAGGGCATTCAGCACTTAGCAGCACCAGGTCCCCTTATTTGGACAAGGCCACTTAAAAAACACTAGGTAGTAACCTGCAAGAAACTAGCTGCAAAACTCCCACTAGCTTCAAAAAGCCGCAGGAGCAGTCTGTTGGATATTAGTGCTGCTTCAATGCCCTTCTCAAGTTGATAGTTAAAAATTACCTGACTACACAACAGCTGTACAAGTACAGTTTAGAGGCACGCATTAAGGACTCTGAGCCATCATGACCATTTCTCCTTGTAGTCACATGCAAGCTAACAGCTTCTGCAGCAGGCACACGTGAGATTTAAAGCACCTGGCTGCAGCATAAGAGAAGCTTGCTGGCTAAGCACAGCAAGGTGTCTCTCCTGATGTGAGCTTCTCCTGTAGCTGTTGTGCGATTTTCATGGATACTTATGTTAGCATGGACAGGAAACATGTTTTTCAGATCTGTGCTACAAAGTAGATACAAAATCAATGCTAAAGCTGTTTTTTCTCTGTACTGATAATAAAGGACAAGGGTTCAAAGGCATCAGGATGCATAGAACAGCAGTTCTAATTCCAAAGAAGCCTTGAAGCAGAAATCCTTTCAGAATGCTTCATTCATTAATAATCTATAAGCATTTAATTGGTACCACTGGAAATTCAAAATACAGAATTCACTGTCCGATGGGGAAAGAGACAGTAGGCAGGCTTGCTGAGGACTGTACACATAATCTGTAGACAGCCTCTTTGTCAATTGAATAGTTTCTCAACTGCCACATCCAGGACATGATTCCTCCCCCGGAGAGAGAACCCCTATTAACTTCAAGGGAAGTTACTTTTATCCATCAACCTGTAGAGCAAAAAATAGGTATAATAGGTTCCTTCCCCTCCAAAATACAGGGCCTGAAAGCCTATTCCAGATTACTTTAATGTGAATGGAAAAACTCAGGGGGCCTTGGATCAAGTGTGAGAATTGAAAAGGAAACGCCTTCATAATAGCCTGGCTGGTGTGTCTTCTCCAAATAAATCAGATTGCAACAATAGGTCTCTAACATTTAAAGGCTATACATCTCTTTATTAACTGTGGATAAATGTCAGCCAGGCCGTGAACTGTTCCCACAGTATCTACAGAGTGGAGTGAGCCGCAGCAGATGCAAGAATAACCTCCCCCACTCCTCCTCTGAACTAACTGTGCGGGCCGACTCCCGATCCCGCCTGGATCGCCATGTGCGAACTCTCTCCCGATCCCATCTGGGTCGCCATGTGCGAGCCGGGGTGAGCCGGGGCCCCGTCTTTGTGTGTACACAGGCTGTGGCCAGTAGCCTGGGTACACAGGGTTGGAAAATACCGCGGTGCGGTATGGCACGCTTGAGCTAGAATCAGTCACGGAGGCGTAATGGTTGATTGAAAAGATTATTTACTTACACCCAAGGTGGTCGCGGTGTAGGCTGGTCAGCTTTCCAGGCACAGCTCTGCTTGAGTTCTCGGTGAAGGACTCTAATAAACTCGGTTCCTTGACCCCAGAGTGAATCAGGCTCCGTGGGTTCAAATATTCGTTCCCATGGAGCAGCTGTATCTCCGTGAGTGTTACTCGGTTCCCAGGTCCCCCAGAGCTGTTAAACTCCGTGGGCTCGACAATTGGGTCCTTAGGATAGGGATACGTCTGGGCTGCGATCGGCGACAGGGAGAGGCTAGAGGTTAGTTGCCTCGGAGTCGTTAAGGCTCCGAGGGGACGGTAAATAAGTCCCGCGGAGTTGTTGAAGCTCTGTGGGTTCGACAAATTAAACCTCTGTTGCCCTCTTAAGGAAAAAGCTGGGTTCGTATGGATCAGCAGCGCTTAGAGATCCTCACGCTCCTTTCCTGAACTCCACGTGCTTTCTCTCTCTCCGATTTGGGTGGAAACCACCCAAGCCTTTTGTATGGCTAGCAAGCCAATAGCTAGCCGCCACGTGTGCCTACATTAAGACTGGCCAATAATGTGGCGCGAATCCTAATACAAATGGCAGTGACTCCTTGCATCGCGCATTGCTATAATGCAAAAGAAATGCACTATGCAAAGAAAGCTACAGAACTGGCAGGAAAAGCTCCTGCACGCAGGTTCTCTGTTGCAGCAGAACACTCCACCGTGCAAAAGAGCTGCAATTTGGTGGGAACATGATTTAGCGATGCCGAAGCACACTCAAATAAAAAAACCACAACTTTGGGTTGTGACACTAACAACCCAAAAGAAAGAGAGGTCCCCTCAGCCTAAGAGACTCCAGCCTGGTTGCCACATTTACCAAGGTTAAATGTAAGCAATTGTCAGGCAGTAGCTAACAGAATCATTCTTTCTGCATCAAGCTGAAGAAAAGGGATAATGATTCATTTCCCCATCCTTTCTTCATCTTAAGGAGAAAAGCCAAATTATAGATTTACCTTTTCATTAGTGACCCTAATCTGCACCTCCAGCTTTCCTGTGGCTACACCACTTGCTCATATAACTAAAACCTCTCAGCAAGAAAATTTAGGTCCCAATTCAGTAAGGTGCTCAGGAACAGGCCAAATTTTAAGAATGTAAATAATCTCATTCATTTCCCTGGGATCAAGTAACAAAGTTCAACTTTAAGGGGTTGGGTCAAAAGTTCAGTTTCAGGCCCCGACTCCAATATAACCCCATTAGCAGTGTACTGCAATGCAAGACCATCATGCAGCAGGGACCCTTAACCAGCTTGGGGATCTATACACTTGCATGGTTAACACTACTCTAACACTGCCCCTGATTGGGACTAATTATATGCTTCAGGTCAGGCACATGTTTAAGTGTTGTGATGAATCTTGGAATATCTTCTTTCTGCTCTGAGAAAAGACTGGCAAGAGCAAAGGATCCCAGAGGAAAAGAGCATGGTTCATTCATAGTTTTCTACCACCACACTACAATACACAAGAAAGGGCAATCCCAGCACAGAGTAGGAACCACCATTTACAGAGGAACATTATCTTTTGGGAGGAGAAAGTATGTACTTTGTACCCTCTGTCCCTGAGAATTCTGCTCTCTGGAATGCCAAAAAATAGGTGTAAAAAAATTAAATAAGCTTGATAGATTTGAGGCTTTTTGTATTAATGTACACAATATTAACTTATACTGTATGCTGGTCAGGTTACCGGTAGTTTTATTATTTGTATATATTTAATTAACTCAGTGGAGGGCTGCCTGGAAAAAATATGCAAGAAGGATCAAGAAAGCCTTGCCTCAGCAAACATGTGAGTGCAGTTAAGGATCAATGCCAGAACTAGTTTTAGCTGAGACAGGTTTTAACCAGAAGAGTCATAGCCCAGAAACTCAGAATTATGGCAGGATTTAAATGAGATCCTCTTCTGTCTCCCTGAGCTGCTTTCTTCACCTGGTCAACTTTTTCACGCAAAGACAGACCAGCTTATCCAATGGCTGCTTCAGTTTGCAGGCAGATTCAGGGTCCATCAGAACCCCAGCTTGGGCTGAATGAAAATTTGTTGAAATTGAGATGTTTCAAATTAAATACTTCAAACTCCCCACACAGGTATTGTTCAGTTAGACTGTGCTTCCTCAGAAAATTTACGACCATCTCCCTTATTGCCAAATCTCTTAAAAAAAAACTTAGCACCCCATTTACTGAGCTCATTTGTAGATCTAGCCCTTAGAGTCTCCCGTCAGCTGTGCCACTGTATTCATAGGTGCTCCCTGCAACCCTCCATGCTTCATTCTTTTGCCCTGTCCCTTTCACTGTACTTCAATCTTCTATTAAAAGAAGATTATTCTGTTTTTTTCTGGTTCCTGGTGGCTAGTATGTAACTTTTGCTTTGATGCTCAAATTATTCAGGTCATTCTTTTGCTACTTCATTGCCTCAAGGTTTGTAACAGCTGAATAGTTTGAACAGCACTAAGTGTCTGTGACCATTGATTATTGTGATTAGCTTAAGTGACTCAATCCATAAATAATATCTGTAAGTGTAAACAATATAATAATCATTATGGAAAAAGAATGATAGGGAAAAGCTAGCAGACATAATGAAATGTGACATCCTCTGAGCAAGTAGAACCAATTTCCAGAAGTCAAGCCCTTTATGATGATTATTATTCTTATACATATTTATGGATGCCTATCACCAGAGTATCAGAACATACTAGTTATTAACCGGGTAACATACCTAAGTAGCATAGCTAAGCTGGAGAAATGCAGTTTCTTCTAAATGGATTGCATTTCCTTTATGTGTTCCCAGTTCCTCAATGGTTACAGCAAGGGATCTGAATGAAAGTCTTTAAATTAACACTCCCAAGACTAATGATTTCCAACTGACCAAGCAAATGAATCGGGTCTGCTAGAAAGAAGCTTGTGGATAACCTTACAAAATCTTACCAAGTACTCAGATATTGGCATCCTGACAAGACATGCAGGCCAGGTACAGACATAACACTTTTACTGGTATAAGTGATTGGAAACCCTTCTATACCCATAACAGAACAAAAGTTTGGCATACAAAACCGGTCTATATGTGTAATAGAACAGAAGTCTGGCACACAAACTGGTTTAAAAATGGTGAAACCTGGTCTAAGATTTGCTGTCCCCAACATGCCAAAGTGTGAATGTGTGTTCTGTTCACTACCAATCTAAACTAGGCTGCTTACAGAAAACCAGATAACATAGATCCATTATACCTTGGCCTTTTTGACTGTCTGTACCTAGCCCAAAAGTGCTGGCTTTCTTGGAAAGCCATAATAGAGAGAGAGAGAGATAAAGAGAAGAGATTTTTTTTCCTACATTTAGGACACTTGCTTGCTGACATGAGATAAATAAATTCATAAGCTTGCCTTGTGACAGCTTCCAATCCTTCCACCTGCAGTGCACTTGCTGCCTTTACATAACAGCCCAAAGAGCTTCTTTCTCTATAC